CTCATTATTGAGGTGGGAAAATTTATGCGTGTCACAAACTTAATTATTGGGTAATAGGGATCTACGAAATAAAGTGATTGGTTTTTCGAATTTTATCTCGTCATCTCGTTCTGAGTACTTGAAAAAATCGGGAGCGTTCACGATGTGGAGCCTCCGACGATCAAGTTCATCCCTCTAGAGTACATATAACATGTATGATATGCAAGCAATAATGTGTAAATCGTTACCTCTTAATTGTTAAGACTATGTCCCTACTCAGCCACATCAATGCCAACGTGGAGCATGGCCATGCAACGAGACAAAAACCATTGAAGAGTCAAGTCAAGACAAAAACTACTAAAACCTCTCCAAACTCTAATATTGAGTGTGTGGTGGAAAATGAATCTTATCCAATAGAGCATGTAGGGTAAATGTCTTGTATATATATTCCCTCAGCTTGTACCAGCCGCAATAGATGATTATGATAGAACATAATAGTAGACATGAAAAGCATATATGAAAAAACAGTGAAACAGTGAAGTTTTATTTTTTCAAAGATGATACGCATTATGAATGCTCTAGTTTCTTTTGTTCTCCTCGTTTTATACCTGGGATTTTGCAGCTTTTCTTTTATGGTATCAGAGCTTAGGCTCTGATCCATATCCTATTTTTTTCCTCTTCTTTATCTGGATCTAACAGCCTCATCCATGGCTGCACCTACTTCTCAACCAGATCCAGTCATTCAAGGCAAAATTACAAAAATGATACACTAAGTTGGTCGTTGTCAACAAAAGAGACATTATGTTGGCACGCACGAAAAAGAGACACGAAGTTGGCATTTTGGTCGGAAACGGCACACTAATCACCCCCCTTGATAAAAATCCGACGTGGCGTGATTAATTTATTATGTGGCTCTTCCTTTTTCGGGCTCTTCATACGTGGAATTTTCGTGTATGCCACCGTGGACGGATGTACATTTTGGAGGGAAAAATCGCACCACACCCGTTGACCAACCGATGACCAGGTATTAATTTGGGGAAATCACACAATTCAGCCCTAATTCACCATTTCGATCATGCATAAATTAGGGCAATTCGAAGAACCCTAAAAATTGCCACCTTCAATTTCGACCACAATCACTCAATTCAATTATCAAAACATTAATAATAGAGAATCACGAAGATGTCAGCGTCTTCATTTTCTTCTCCGTCTGAAATTTTATGCTCATGTAGAGAGAAGGCGCAATTGAGGACTTCGAAGACGAGTACGAATCCAGGGAAAAGATTCCATAGTTGTAAGAAATGGAAGCAAGGAGGGTGCGATTTTTTCATGTGGGCCGAACTAACTTCTCAAATCAACTCAGCAACTTCATCAGGTATGAATAATCAAGATTTGGCTCATGAATCTGAAATGAAGATTGTGTTGCTGAAGGCTGAAGTGAAAGTTCTGAAGATAAAGATTTCAATGCTTGAAGATTCCAATGGAAAATTTGATTCTCAAATGAAAATGATGATGGTCAAGATTAAGAGAATTCACTTGTTTATTCTTGGTATTTGTTTTGGTTTGACCTTATGTTTTTTAGTGAAGTAAAGAGTTTGTTCAAGCAGATGGGATCTGTATTGTGCATTCAAAAAAAAAAAAAAAAGGTGTGATCTATTATGATGTAGTGAGTATGTTATTGGTTGATTATGAAGTGGATTGACTTTTGTGGACTGCAAGAAATGTATTATGTTTGTATTATGAAGTGGATTGATTTCTGTGGAATGATCTGTGATCTGTGCATTCAAGATTTTTTCTGTTATTTTGCAACTTAGATGAAAGAATTAAAATCAACAATGCATTAGGTTGTCATTAACAAAACTTCAAAAAATGAGCCATTAAGAAAACCATCTAAATCAATCACCATTCACCATAACAAAACAAAATCCCATAACAAAATAACAATCACCATTCACCATAACAAAACAATATCCCATAACAAAATAACAATAACCATTCAAACCAGAACAACATCTCATAACCATTCAAACCAGAACAACATCCCAAAACAAAACAACATCACAGTTTTCAGTTTCCTTTACCAAAACAATACAACATCCCAAAACAAAAAACTGTCAAGTTCATAAGAAAGAGAATAATGATCCATAATCACAACACTTTCTCTTTTCCTTTACCATAATCACTCTTCTTTTGATTGTTTAATCCTGACATAAGCTCAGACACAGATGTGTACTTCTGTCCTCCTTCTTCAAATATCTGTTTCAGCCTAGTGTCCCTCTCCGAAAGGCAACTTTCTTGACTTGGTATAAATTGACCCACCTGAAATCTAGGAGGTCCTCTAATGTTCACCCCAGAAGTTGGACCCCCTTGAGCAGATTTATATTGATTGTACATTGAAGGTGTTGGAATAAATTTTGGGACTGTGGTTTGACTTTTCACTTGCTTTCTTTTCTTCTGTGCTTGGCCTTCACCCTACAAGAAAAATTATAATATAATTACAACTATTTTAATTTAAGGCAAATTTTGAAATTTTAATGATAAAAAAGTATTTCTTACAGTTACAACACTCTCTTGAGTTGAAAGTCCTATTGCAGGAACTTTTTCTGTCATCCTTCTAGCCTGAAACAACATATACTTTAATTTTAGTTAACAATTTAACATAATTTGAATTCATTATTAAATTGAAGCCACAAAGTTACCTTCTGCTTTTGAGGCCTGTCTTCTAAACCAATAGCTGCAGCATCAGCATTACCTTCCTTCATTAGCAGACAGCCTCTCTTGTTGTGGCCTTCCACATGGCAAAAAGTGCACTTCAACCCTGTTTGCTGCCTTTTGATAGTATGTGCTGGAGTCACAACTCTAGGTTTAACCCTTTTTTTTTTACTTTTTTTTTTTCGGTTGAACCTCATCAGGCTCCATTCTCCTCACCATAGTGGGCCTACTAGGTGCTCTACCATCATTAGGTGGCAATGGAGGGGCATATCCTGTCTTTCTCCATTCTTTTCTGCCATTGATGGGCATTATGGCTGGTGCATACACTTTTTTATAGGTCTCTGTCTTGTAGCATGGATGTATGAAATCATCAATGTTCCAGCCTTGAAAATGAACAGCACTTACTGCATGGATACAAGGAATTCCACTCAGTTGCCACCTCCTACAACCACAAGTCTTGTTTTCCAAATCCACTTTAAACTGATCACCATTGAACACCTGAATTTGGAAATTGAAGTCATTGGACTTCAATGGGATACAGTCAACCAGGTTTTCAATGTGGTTAGCAATTATCTCCCTCACCTTAGGACAAAATACAAAATCCCATTTTTCTGCCTTGTCTCTGTTTAACTGCAATCTTTTCATCAAGTAACTCATGATCCACTATAGCATTGATAATATGGGCATGCTTCTAGCTTCTAAAATGTTGTAGTTGAATGTTTCACAGCCATTATTTAGCAACATGTCACACTTGGGAAACTCACTAAAATGAGACATGCTCCATTGATGAGGTGGCTTGTCACTTAACCAGTCATAAGCACTATCTTCCAACTCTTTTAGTGCATCCATTTTCCTTGAAAAATCATTGACTGTAGTTGCTGTAGCTGCTCCAAAGTGCATTCTTAAACCCAATCCCTCTATAACCTGCATTTCTGAAGTTGCCCAAAAGGTGCCTTACACAGAACCTGTGATCTGAGTTAGGCAACACTTGTTGAAAGGCTTAAATTAGTCCTTTTTGTTTATCAGAAATAAATGTCCACTCATGTTGCTTTTCAATCTCAAGGTCCAATTTCAACAGCAAAATGAACCACTCCCAGTTATCTCTATTATCCTTTTCAACAATAGCATAAGCTAAAGGAAACAAGGAATTGTTAGGATCTACTGCAACAGCACATAACAACACTCCCTTGTTGGGGCCTTTCAAGTGACAGCCATCCACTCCAATGATGGGTCTGCAACCAGCTTTAAATCCAACTTTCAGTGCATTCAAGCAAATGTAGAACCTGTCAAAGTAGTTTTCCCCACTACTATCATCAGTACCCAATATCACTGTGCTCCCTGGATTAGT